TATTTGATTGTTTATACTAATTGTTCCCTATTTTTACATTTAGATTACATTTGCTGCCATCTAATGCATATTTAAAGTTAATCTTTAGAAACACTGATCATTAATTAACACTGTTAAATATAATCTCTGCCAATCTTACATTTACAAATGAGTTTACAAGTGACTGACAAATGAGGACAATAGAAGCAATCAAAACCAACAAAAGGGCAATAATATGTATTAAAATTATTATTATTATGTATTATATATTTTAAAATTAATATCCATTTTACATACTGTGCATGTTGCAATGCTTAAATTCACTTGTAGCATTTAAAAGATGAATTTAGTTTTTAGAGTTTTATTTTTAATTTAGACACATTTTACTGGTAACACTTTACAATAAGGTTCCATTAGTTAATGTTAGTTGATGCATTAACTAACATGAACAAACAATGAACAATTCATTTATTACAGTATTTAATAATCTTTGTTAATGTTAATGAAAATACAGTCGTTCATCGTTAGTTCATGTTAATTCACAGTGTTAACTAATGTTAACAAGCACAACTTTTGATTTTAATAATGCATTAGTAAATGTTAAAAATTAACATTAGCTAAGATTAATAAATGCTATAGAAGTATTGTTCATGCTTAGTTCATCAATAGAAGCAATCAAAACCAACAAAAGGGCAATAATATGTATTAAAATTATTATTATTATGTATTATATATTTTAAAATTAATATCCATTTTACATACTGTGCATGTTGCAATGCTTAAATTCACTTGTAGCATTTAAAAGATGAATTTAGTTTTTAGAGTTTTATTTTTAATTTAGACACATTTTACTGGTAACACTTTACAATAAGGTTCCATTAGTTAATGTTAGTTGATGCATTAACTAACATGAACAAACAATGAACAATTCATTTATTACAGTATTTAATAATCTTTGTTAATGTTAATGAAAATACAGTCGTTCATCGTTAGTTCATGTTAATTCACAGTGTTAACTAATGTTAACAAGCACAACTTTTGATTTTAATAATGCATTAGTAAATGTTAAAAATTAACATTAGCTAAGATTAATAAATGCTATAGAAGTATTGTTCATGCTTAGTTCATGTTAACTAATGAAACTTATTGTAAAGTGTTACCATTTTACTTTTATTTAAATGTATAGAATTTTAAAATCATTGGTTTATGGCTACAATATGAAATTAATTATTGGCTTATCATATCGGATACAATTTTAATATCAGTGCATAATTATTTCTAGGTCAGTAATCAAATAAACAAATTTGTGACATTAATCTTTGAAAAATTCAAACAAATAAAAGGTCAGATTTAGGTCAGAACTACACTAATAATCAATAGTTTGGGGGTCAATAAGACTTGTTTTAAAAATAAATTAACACTTTTATTGTCAGTTTATCAAAAGTAACATTTTTTTATATATTTATATATTATTATTAATTACTATATATTATTGTTACACCTTATATTCATCAAAGAATCCTGAAAAAAAAATGTTTTCAACTGTTATAACAGGAAAGCACAATTTTAAATTTAATTGCATTTTCCAATAGAAAACGGTTTTAAATTCTAATATTACTTCACAATTTTATGTTTTACAGTATTTCTGATCAAATAAATGCAGCCTTGGTAAACATTCAAGACATTTAAAAACATTAAAAAATATTTTCGACCCCAAACTTCTGAACAGTAGTGTATGTCCAATCAAAAGAATCCAAAAGAGAAGCTTTTTACTAGTGGTCTCAGATGTTTGGACCTCACTGTATGCTGAAACCCAAAAGCACAGCAGTGAAATCTGACTCACCTACAGAAATCTGGAGGCACCATGCCATACACATTGATTCTGTCACAGAGCTCTAAGGCAATAGTCATTGTGAACCAGCCTGTGCTTAACCACGAGTTAGAGATTCTCCTGAAAAGAGAAACAGAGAGAGAGTAACTGTCTGCTGAAAACAATACAACTGAATACCAAACTGCGAGGCGTGCTGTAGTTAACATTCCAGAAGATATTTCCGTTCGAAATTCCACACACGCAAGACCAAGATTCTGTTGCGTTTAGAGTCTTGTCCAGCTGTCAGGATCATTTCTACAACTGAACGTTATCATCAACTGCTCATCAGTTCTGCCAACCTGCCATCTGACATGAAAGCCCTGGTGAATCTTTGACAAATAGCACATTAATAAAGGAAAACAAACAGCATTAGTGAACAACAACCCGGACATGATTGATTAGAAGCCTCTGATTACTGTTAAATTCCCTCAGACAACAGAGCATCCTCTGTCTGGCAGATGCGACGTAAATAATCTCTCGAGCATGCACTAGAATATACAATGGAAGTAATCAACATCTAAACTATAACCTCTGCGCAGTTAGGGGCCATTCACACAGAACGTGTTTTTGCATACCACTGCACTACTTTTCCATTGTCATTTATTTATTTATTCAAATTTCTTCTATTTATTCAAAATAGCGCCAACATGTTCTAGGCTGAGCGGTCTCTTTTTGTTTGTGTTACCTGTTATTTGGTTTTTCGTTTTGTTTCCTTGTTTTTTGATACAGCAAGTTACTCCAGTTCTTATTTATGATCGTCAAACTTTATTGGATATTCGTGACTCAGTGGAGAATTTATGTTTCTGGAATCCGTATGAAGGGAGGTCTTTCAATCCTCCTAAGTCATTGTTGCGGATGGATCCCTGCTGTTTAATAGACTGGGCTTTTAATAAAAAGAAGCGCGGAAAAAAGTGAGGCAAGCATGGTGGAGTGGCAGTCCGTTTGAGGATGATCACCGATTGTGTTCGGAGGGTTGCGGATTCTACTTGTTCCGACAACTCTAATGCTTGGCCTTGTCATCGGCGGGTTCCTCATCCCAGGCGGGCATGGCTTGTACCTATCTTCCCAAGTTTGCCGTGCCGGTTCGCCAGCTGGGACCAGGGGCGATCACATACTACTGGGAGAACAGTTGATCATCGGTGGATTCCGCATTCCGGGCAATCGCGGCTTGTTCTTGTCTGGCTGAGCTTGCAGTGCAGTTATGCTGGTTGGGATTCGAAGAGTTATGCTGGTTGGGATTCTAAGAGACCGCGTATCTCCGAGAGAGGAGTTAACTCTGCTAACTTGAGAACAGTGGAACATTTATCACTATCAAAGTCCAGGTCATTCGATATGACAACACGGACCTTGTTCCCAGACTTGGAGACGGTAAAGATGGCTTTGATTAACACAAGATCGCTATCTAACAAAACTTTTATTATTAATGATTTTATTGTATACCACGAATTAGACTTTCTATTTATGACGGAGACTTGGCTAAACACTGGCGAGTTGGATTCCTTATTTGAAACATCTCCCTCTGATTGTAACTTTTTTAGTTATCCAAGGACTGTGGGTAGAGGTGGGGGGGGGGTAGCTACAATTTTTAAAAAACATTTTAGCTGTCGATTGTTACCTGTGGAGACATTTTCAAGTTTTGAGGTACAATTGTGCTGGGTGGATTTAGTTCACCCTATCCTCTGTGCTCTTATTTACAGACCTCCCAAGTATGATAAGTTCGTTTTGAAGGAATTTTCAGATTTTTTAGCTTCAATTTTGCCTAATGTTGATCGACTTTTGGTACTTGGTGATTTTAATATTCATGTATGCTGCCCTGATTAACCCTTAGTCTCTGAATTTTTGCTAATTGTTGATTCATTTAATCTTTCTCAGTCTGTCTTGGGTGCTACTCATGATAAAGGTCACACACTTGATCTAATTTTGTCTTTTGGATTTTCGCTACAGATTACTCAGATTGAGGATTCATATTTTTCTGATCATAAGCCGATAATTTTTAAAACTGTATTATCCAGGCCTGTGAAACAACCTCTTACTGGTTATTATACTCGTTCAGTTAAGTCATTTACACCTATACGATTTGCTGATGCTTTTGTCTCCTCTGAATTTGCTGTTTCCTTTGAATCATTTTCTTCTGACATGGACCTTGAAGAGTTTATCTCAAGTTTTAATAACACCTGTGCAAATATTTTGGATTCTTTTGCTCCACTGAAATTGAAATATCCTAAAGCGAGAAGTCAGCCCTGGCTAAATGGTGAAGCTAGAGTTTTAAGAAGGAAATGTAGGCAAGCTGAGAGAAAATGGAAAAGTGACAAATTGCAAGTTTCCTATGAAATTTTGAGGGATTGTTTAGTTACTTACCAGAAATTTGTTACGAATGCTAGGTCATTATATTATTCTAACCTTATCTCTAGCAATGCTGGCAGACCTACAATTTTATTTAGTACTATCAGTAAGGTTTTAAATCCGGTTACAATTTCATTTTCTGGTGCATCTCCTTTAATTTGTAATGATTTTTTAGAGTATTTTATCCAAAATATTCGCTCTAATATTTTGCACTCTGGGAATGTCTCTTTTGATGATTATTGCAATTCTGCTATATTATCTAGTTTTGAGCCTGTGTCTATTTCTTCTTTAATGGACATTATCTGTCATATGAAACCTGTATCCTGCTCTCTGGATCCTATTCCCACATTTTTAACTATGGAAGTGTTAGATACCATTGGTCCATATATTCAGTTTATTATTAATAGTAGTCTTAATAATGGTCATGTTCCATCCTGTTTTAAACATGCAGTGATACACCCTGTACTTAAAAAGCCTACCCTTGATCCACAGGTCCTAGCCAATTACCGGCCTATATCAAAACTTCCTTTCCTTTTAAAGGTATTGGAGAAGGTTGTTTTTCATCAGCTTTCCTCCTTCTTAAAGAATAGTGATATACTGGACAAATTTCAGTCTGGGTTCAGAGCTCAGTATAGTACAGAAACTGTCTTTTGAAAGTGTTAAACGATTTGCTATTAGCTGTCGACTCTGGGAAATGTGGGGTTTTGGTCCTTCTGGATCTAAGCTCGGCTTTTGAGACTATCGACCATTCTATTTTATTGAGACGACTGGAGGAGTATGTTGGAATTAGGGGAACAGCATTAAACTGGTTCACATCCTATCTTAAGGGGAGATCTTTCTCTGTAGCTATTGAGAATTTTACCTCTGTTAATGCTGCATGTACATGTGGGGTACCACAGGGTTCCGTTTTAGGCCCTGTTTTGTTTTCCCTTTATCTTCTTCCTTTAGCTATGATTTTTCGTAAGTATCAGATCTCATACCATCTTTATGCAGATGATATACAGCTTTATCTTCCAATGCAACCAGATGACAATATATCTCTCCAGTCTTTGATTGATTGTGTGAGTGAAGTTAAAACTTGGATGGCAGAAATTTTTTTACAGCTAAATGATTCTAAGACAGAAGTGTTGGTCTTTGGACGGCCTGAATGTGCTTCCATCCTTTCTAAAACTTTGAGTCCTATAACTAAATCTGTAGGCACTTGTGCTCGGAATTTGGGTGTTATTTTTGACCCGGCACTCAAATTTGATAAACAGATAAATTCAGTCGTGAAATCAGCATTTTTTCAGCTTAGGATGATTGCTAAAATTAAATATTTTCTTTCTTTTAAGGATCTGGATACTATTATTCATGCATTTATTTCAACAAGATTGGATTATTGTAATTCTTTGTATTTAGGAATTATTCAGTCTTGTTTATCTCATCTCCAGATGGTCCAAAATGCTGCGGCGAGACTTTTAACAGGGACCAAAAAGAGAGAAAGTATCACTCCAGTTTTAATTAGTTTGCATTGGCTTAAAGTCATCGAATTATTTTTTGTTATCGGTACCTATGACGCGCCTGAAACTTAAGGGGGATCGTGCTTTTTCGGTGGCAGCACCAAAGCTGTGGAAAAATTTGTATATAAGATCAGCCTCCTCTTTTCAGGTTTTTAAATCTTCACTTAAGACTTATCTTTTTGAAACGGCTTATGGTCTGGAGTAAATGCTGTCAAATATTTGATAATGTGTGATGTTATCTTTGTCATAATTTGTGATTTGTTTTATATGGTTAGTTGTTTTATGTATTTAATTTTTTAATTTTGTACAGCACTTTGGTCGACACTGTCGTTATTAAATGTGCTATATAAATCAATAAAACTAAACTAACTAAACTAAACTAAAAGCAACATTTAATGCATGACATGGCATTCAAAAAAATGCAGTGCTTAAGGTAAAAAAAATTCAACTTTTAAAAAATGCTTTTATAGACATTGTCTATTATTGTAACGCTTGTTGCTGGGTAGAGGAGAAAGAGCGCATGACGGAGATGAAGATTCAATAATAATCCATTTAATAGTAATCCAAGAGGAAGGGTAATCCACAACTATAGGGTAACACAAGCTCACAACAACATCAACAACGGACAAACTTGAGGCCCCGTCCACACGAACGCCGCAAAACCGCAGCTTTTTCTACGCAGTTAGGCCGTTCGTCCACACGCAAATGCAGCACCAGGTCACTGAAACCGAACATTTTTGAAAATGCCTGCCAGGGTGAAGATTTTCAAAAACTCCGGAGTTTTTGGCTTGTGACATCAGTGCATGCGCTGTTATATCCGCCTACTGGAGACTTTTTCAGGCTTCTGATTGGCCAACATGGCTTTACGGTTGAGATTACATCGCCACCTGTTGGTTTGGCATGCTCTTGACAGTGCTTCATAGCATGCTTTTGCGTTTTCATGTGGACGGAGATTTTTTTTTAAACGGAAGAAGGAAAAACTCTGTTTATAAAAATAATAAACATAATATTTAATGTTCAATATCCAGCAAATACTATCCAGATATCATGGAAACATATTGCTTAGATTTATGCTCAGAATTCCTATGAACACATTGTGACAGACCGTGTTCTCCAAAGCAGGACTGGTTAGAAACCAATGTGACCAGATGCAGGAGAAAACAACAGCGGAGGAGAAAACTGAACTGCTAAGTCGTGGAAAAACAAAATGCCAGAACATTGGGCTGTGTTTGTGCCGCAGGGCTCTCTGTCTCTGCCAGGCCGGAGAGCAAAGACACTGCGTCCTCACTGCCAAGTGTTCCTGCATGACTATTTACATGACCTACAATGCACAAATTATAGCACCATCAGTCTGAATCACTTTAAAAGTAGTCTTGGGGTTTAACTGTAAGTACCGTTTCAGAAGGACAGTGAGGACTGAGGTTCTCAGGGCCATATGATTCTTTAAAAAAGCAATAAGCCATGAGACACCATGCATTATTTTACCGCAGGTAAGGGGCGTCCATAAGATGATTAGAGTGGCTTATGGATTTTATAAAAAAGCATCAATATGATAAGACACCACTGGTCAATAAAGCGAGGCCGGTGGAGTAAATGCTAATGCGCGACACCTGTGCCACTCACCGGTCTCGAGTCCCACGGAGGACCTCCGGAAGGATAAAAGGAGGAGTGACGACAGTGTTGGACGAGAGAGGACCAGGCCTGGATTTTATTTTGTGTTCTGGTTCTGTTTGTGCACGACCCGCGAGGGGCTGTCGCACTATTTTGTGTTTATTTTATTTTATTAAAGTTTTGTTTGAATGTTCGCCAGTTCCCGCCTCCTTCTTCCCGTGACTACAAACGTTGTTACATTGGTGCCGAAACCCGGGAGGAAGGAGGGACATGCTGCCAGAGATCCCTCGCCGCTGTGGTGAATCCGCGGTGCCATCGAGCATGGCGGAGCAGTCTGCCGCCATGGAGGCTCG